CATCACACACCCATGCACCCATCAAGCACCCATCATGCACCCATGCACCATGCACTCATCTGCCTGCCCCTTTTCCCTGTAACACACATACCACGGCCTTTCCCAGTCCAAAGGCATGAGCCATACACCCACCCATGCACCCACCCATGCACCCATGCAAGTACCCCTGTACCGTGACCCACCTAAGTGCCCCCCCCCAGCCCACCTGCAGCTTTTCCCAGTCCAAAGGCATGGGTCATGCCCCACCCACGCATGCATGCACACAACATGCACACAACATGCACACAACATGCACACAACATGCACACAACATGCACACAACATGCACACAACATGCACACAACATGCACACAACATGCACACAACATGCACACAACATGCACACAACATGCACACAACATGCACACAACATGCACACAACATGCACACAACATGCACACAACATGCACACAACATGCACACAACATGCACACATACACCCACGCATCTGCCCATTCCCTCCTTTACCACCCACCTGCCATGGCTTTTCCCAGGCCAAAGGCATGGGCCATGCCCCTACCCACGTCCCCACCATGCACCCATGCACATAGCCCCCCCTCCCCCCTAACCCACCTGCCATGGCTTTTCCCTGTCCAGAGGCATTGGCCATGCCCCCACCCATGCCCCCAGCATGCACCCATGCACATTCTTTAGGACACTCAAAACTGACCCGACTAAATCCCCCCCATAACTCACCTGCCATGGCTTTTCCCAGTCCAGGGGCATGGGCCATGCCCCTATCCACGCCCCCACCATGGCCCCATGTGCTGACGTCACCACACACGCCTCAGACAGTGATGCTGGGCTGAAGGGGAGGGATGGGATGAAGAGTGTGGAGGAGGGGAGGAGGAGGAGGGGAGAGGGAAAAGGGGAGGGGGGAGGAGCCGAGGGGGAGGAGGGGAGGGGGAGGAGTGGAGGGGGAAGAGGGGAGGGGAGGGAGGGGGAAGGGGAGGAGGGGAGGAAGAGGAGGTGAGGGGGGAGGAGGGGAGTGGGAGGAGGGTAATGGGAGGAGGAGGGAAAGGGAGAAGCGATGAGGCATATGGAATGGGCAGAGGGAACGGAGAGAAGTGAGTAGCAGAGGTACGGAACGGAGAGAGGTGAGTAGCAGACGTACGGAACGTAGCATTGTTCTCTTTTCTTTTAAAAAAAGCCTTGGCCGTCTCATTCACTCATAGAATGATCTGGAAAAAGAATACAGAGGCTTGGGGCCACGGGTGTTACCTGAACTGCAGCAGCACGGATCGCCAGAGGTGTGTGTGGGAACGAAAGAGGAGAGCGGAGGGCAGCACCTGAGGGGAGGAGATGATGAGGGACGCGGAGGGGGCATAGGGGTGGTGACATATTGCACCCATTGCACCCTATGGCATAGGGCATAGGGCATAGGGCATAGGGCATAGGGCATCGGGCATAGGGCATAGGGCATAGGGCATCGGGCATAGGGCATAGGGCATAGGGCATCGGGCCATAGGGCATAGGGCATAGGGCATAGGGCATAGGGCATAGGGCATAGGGCATAGGGCATCGGGCATACGGCATAGGGCGGAATGATGAATGGAGGAATGGAGGATCGAAAATCACAGATTGCAGGTGCGCAGAATAGTAAAGATGGGGGTTGAAGGCAACGAGGGGTTTCAGATGTCCTAAAAAGCACAGATTGCGGGGGTGCACAGACTATCAATGATTAGAGGTTGAAGGCAAAGAGGAGTAAAGGGAGCGTCAGAGGGGGGAGGAGGAGCAGCACTTGAGAGGGGTAAAGGGAGAGTCACAGGGGGGAGGGGGGGAGTTACAGATGAGTGACGTGACATGGTAGGTGATTGGTGGGAGAGCAAAGTGACGTGGCGGGAGAACAATCTGACGTGGCTGATTGCAGCACTTACAGCGAGCAGAGAGAGAAGGGAGGACCAGTGGAGGGTCACTGGGATGGACCTGGCAGGTAGGAAACGTAGGGAGAATTGTGGGTTACAGAAGGTGTAATGTGGTGAAGTGGGGTATGCTGGCTTGCAGTGGGGTATGCTGGCTTGCAGTGGGGTATGCTGGCTTGCAGTGAGGTATGCTGGCTTGCAGTGGGGTATGCTGGCTTGCAGTGGGGTATGCTGGCTTGCAGTGGGGTATGCTGGCTTGCAGTGGGGTATGCTGGCTTGCAGTGGGGTATGCTGGCTTGCAGTGGGGTATGCTGGCTTGCAGTGGGGTATGCTGGCTTGCAGTGGGGTATGCTGGCTTGATTCACCATATTATGTCAATGTCAAGACATGCTTGACGGCCGCTTTTAGCCGAAAGAACGCACTAGAAAAAAATCAAAGTCGCCTCAAAGCTCATAGTGACTCACTGGAGGGTGGTGGGAGCACCAAAAGCAGTGGCTGCGAGTGCTGCGGCGAAAAGCACCTAATGGTGAGAGAGAAAGAGAGTAAAAAGAGGGTACGGAGGGGGTGGGGGGGGTGGGGAGGGGTGGAAGAGTAAGCGAGGGATGGATGCGAGTTGGTGCACCTGTGTGTATCAATGTGAGGAAGAGGAGGGGACAGGGAGTATAAGTGGTATAAGGAAGATTGAAGAGTCATTTACCGAGGCATGTCAGGAGTATGGCAGTGGTGAGGTTGGCAATCCAATGCATGAGTGGACCTCCAAGCTGGATGAGAGGAGGAGGAGGGGACGAGAAAGACAAGAGGCGAAAGAGAAAGCGGTTAGAATAATTATTTGCCGATGCATGTTGGCAAGATGGCAGTGGCGATGTGAGCAATGCGGTGCATGAGTTGACCTCCAGGGTGTATGAGAGGAGGAGGCACAAGCAGCCACGTCATACGACATGATGCCACGTCACACGATGTCATGCAACGTCATGACTCATCATGGCACAGTCACGTACAATCCGAGTCAGGACATTTGAAAGGGAGAAGACCGAGGCTTGAAATAGAGGTACCACATTCAGCTGCTGACATGGTGACATGCTGACATGGTGACATGCTGACATGGTGACATGCTGACATGGTGACATGCTGGCATGGCGACAAACGGCGAGAAATCACCTGCATGCCTCTGCGGGCCAATGGCGACATTTGAACGGATGTGGAGAGGCTGAAGGGAGGGAGGGAGAAGAGAAGCAGTGCTGCTGGCAGAAACAGAGCCTGTGGCATGGGGATTGTTAGGTTAGGAGGAGAGGAGGCAAGGAGAGGAAAGAGGAGGAGAGGAGAGGAAAGGAGAGGAGAGAGGAGGAGAGAGGATTGGTAAAAAAAAAAAAGGTAGGGAACGAGGGAGGAAGGGATCGAGGAGAGATAAGCTTGTGGAAAGGTGATAGGTAGGGAACAAGGTAATGAGGTGTTGGTAAATTCGACCGAGCTACAGCATGAAATGACGTGAGATCAATCTTGGTCTTGAGTCACCAACAGGACTAGAAGCGTGAAGCCATGATGATGGTATGCATGCTGCACAGACAGACACGTGGACGTACACATGTGGACTTGATACACGTCAGCGGCTCACTCGTCAAATCTAATCCCCAGAGCTGACGTGGCAGCAGCCACGCTCCAATTACTATGCTTAGCGCAAGCACTGACGTGGACAGGACGAGTGACGCTGACGGTGAATAGGGTGACGTGGCAGCATCAGGTAGCTTCTTAGCAGTGGCCCTTCGAGCCATCTCGCCACTGTTCCAACGCGACTCGGAGATTCGCGCGAGGAGAGATTTCGGTGTGTTCTCCTTCTGGGAACCTGGAATATGATTTTGGCGGGAATTCCTGGGTTCGCTGCTGATTGCTGCTGGAATCATTCCCGAATATCCTGTGCTCGAGTTGAAAGCTATAATCAAGGTGGGATCCTGTGGGGCTCATTCGGTGTTGTTCTACGCTGGAACTTGGTGTCAGTCGGCTGATTAGGCGGATCTGATGGCGCCTCGAATTTTGTACAGAGGCGAACCTCACACTTGATGGGAAACGCACGGTTGGTTATGGTTTCTCGCGGTCCAAACCAAACCAGAGAGAAAAACACATCCGAGGTTGTGGGAATGACACAAAAGTGCAAGGTTTCGGATCAGCAGCAGGCGGCTTTGCAAGGGTGACTCGAACCTCAGATCAATACAAAAACACTCCCTCATTCTGTAAACCGTCAACCTCAGCTCAACCCTAAATTCCCTTATTGACGCGTCACCATCACGCTCCCTTCCCGCATTGAGACTGGCTGTTAGCTATCTTCGGCTGTCGTTGTCGCTAGTGGTCGCCTACCTGCCGCGATTCACGCGTGGTATGAGTCTAGATTCCACCGAAGTTACTGTAGAACCCATTAGCTGGTTCAGGATTCGAGTAGGCCTGTCGTATTAGCCTATCGTTGCACCTACAGCTACTATCTCCTATTGACGATTATTTTTTTAGGCGTATCGACAAGCGTAAGACTTCGACAAGTTTTCCCGTGTGCCCGTCTACAAGAATCATGAAGCCGCCACCGCGAGCAACGAGGAGGTCGAGAAGGAAAGCAAAAGAGGAGGATGGTGCGACGCGTGTCCTTCGTGAATCGGAGATAAATAGACTTGGAGAATCAAAGGAGGTAGGGGAAGCTAAGTTACGGGAAGGAAGCGATTCCGCCGCAGAGTTGAAAGGTAACGATTCCGACTCCGCGAATTCCGACGGGGCTGACAAGGATGTCACGGATAGGGACGCTGACGGTGACGCTGACGTGGACGCCAGTACGGATGCTGACGTGGACGCCAATGCGGACACTGACGGGGATTCGGCTGGGCGAGGCCGTGCGGAAGGCATGACGGCCTACCGAGCGGCTAAGAGCAGATCGCATGGCGAGAAATGCGGCGCTCAAGTCGACCGCCAGCATCAGCGCTGCTGCCGGCGGTCGCACCGCGCAGCAGCAGCAGCAGCAGCAGCAGCGACGATCCGCGCCCTCTGAACGTGATTCCTGAGGCGCCTTTAAAGCCGCCAGCATCTACGCTACCCGGGGTCGTTCCGTGCTGCAGAAGCATGACGACTCGAGGCCTCCCAAGGTGGTAGTACCCGTTTCGTTTGGTTGGCCTCCCAAGGTGGTTTCATTTTGGTGTGCGTCCTCTGATTCTAGAGACTAGAGCGTCTGGCGTTGTCTGATTCTTCATGTCTGGTGCGTCTAGCAGCGCTTGTAGTGGCGCTTGTAGGGCGATCGTCTGGTTCGGCAGGGCGATCGTGTGGTTTGGCAGGGCGATCGTCTGGTTCGGCAGGCGATCGTGTGGTTCGGTCAGCTCCTCAGGAGCGGTCTTGTGTTTGTTTTGTGCTCTGCTCTGCTCACCATGCTCTCTCCTTCAGGCACTGGGCAGGCGGTCGTTCCGTGTTCAGAAAAGGGGTGGTGGTGGTGGTGATGGTGGTGACTGACTGACAGGGGCAGGGGGGGTGGCTCATTCCTTGTTTTTAGTGTTCTGTGCGTGCTCACCATTCTCTCTCCTTCAGACACTGGGCGGGCGCGGTCGTTCTGTGTTCAGAAAAGGGGCGGTGGTGGTGGTGACTGACAGGGGCAGGGGGGTGGATGAGGAGGAGGAAGAGGAGGGGGAGGGAGATGAGGAGGGAGATGAAGAGGGGAGGAAGGAGGAGGAGTTGGGCAAAGTCAGGAAGTATATCCCTGATGAGATTCCAGATGATGATGGGAGGGATGAGGGGGAGGAGGAGGGGGAAGATGAGGAGATGGAGGGTGTGGGCGGTGGTGGTGGTGGGGGTGGTGGTGGGATTGGGAGGAGGAGAGGACGGAAGCCGGGGAAACGCGGTGCAGAGAAGAAAAAGCAGTGGGGGAGTAAGCGGTGGGGGGGGATGGAGGAGGAGTTGGGAGCGGTTGGTGCCGGTGACGGCGACGAGGAGCTGCAGATAGTGAGTGGGTTTCTGAGATGGTTTCGTTAAGAGGGAATGCCTTTTGAGGAAGAAACTATTGAGGAAATGGCTATTGAGGAAATGGCTATTGAGGAAATGGCTATTGAGGAAATGGCTATTGAGGAAATGGCTATCGAGGAAATGGCTTGAGGCAACCCATCCCCAGAAATTGAAGGGGACTCAAAATGATAGCGGATGACTGCGGATGGTGTTTTGCAGTTTGTTGAGGCGCCTCTAGACTTGACTGCTGCAGATGGTGTGTTTTGCATCAGGTTTCATCAGGTTGAGTGCATGCTGCAGCACGTGTGTAAGGCATGCCATGCCAAACACTGAAGCGTTTGAACACTTCTTATCTGGTCATGTTATGCCGTACCAAAGACTGAAGCATTGAAAGTTCTGTGTGCGTCGCCATGCCATGCCATGCCATGCCATGCCATGCCATGCCCAACACACGCACACAGTTCATTGCACCCACTTTGTGCAGCCCTCTGTCTCTGCTACTGCCTCTGCCTCTCTTCGCGCCTCTCTCCGCCCCTCTCCACCTCTTTCTGCCTCTCTCTACCTCTTTCTGCCTCTCTCTACCTCTTCCTGCCTCTCTCCACCTCTTTCTGCCTCTCTCTACCTCTTTCTGCCTCTCTCTACCTCTTTCTGCCTCTCTCCACCTCTTTCTGCCTCTCTCTACCTCTTTCTGCCTCTCTCCACCTCTTTCTGCCTCTCTCCACCTCTTTCTGCCTCTCTCTACCTCTTTCTGCCTCTCTCCACCTCTTTCTGCCTCTCTCTACCTCTTTCTGCCTCTCTCCACCTCTTTCTGCCTCTCTCTACCTCTTTCTGCCTCTCTCCACTTCTCTCCACCCCAGACCATCGCCCTGTTACTCTCCATGACTGGGGAGGAGCGCAGGGCAGCCGGGGATGAGGCTGGGAGGCGTTTAAGTGGAGCAGCATGGGGATCTGGGGAGGGAGGGAGAGGTGGAAGGGGAGGAGGAGCGAAGGTTGGAGGAGGAGAGGGAGGAGGGAGGGGTGGAGGAGGAGGGGGAGGTGGAAGCGGAAGGGGAGAGAAGGGTGGAGGAGGAGAGGGAGGAGGGAGGGGATGAGGCGGTGAGGGTGACGCCAGCAGAGGCAGAGGCAGGCGAGGCAAGATGAAGGTGGGTGGCTGGGAGTCTTGTCCTGAGATGGTGGGATTTCTGAGAAGGTGAGGGTCCTGAGAAGCCTTTCAGAGAAGTTCTGAGAAGCCTTTCAGAGAAGTTTTGAGAAGCCTTTCAGAGAAGTTTTGAGAAGCCTTTCAGAGAAGTTTTGAGAAGCCTTTCAGAGAAGTTTTGAGAAGCCTTTCAGACTAAGTTGGTCATTTACGCCATTTCAGCCCACGTACACGTAACGTACGCGTACATGTACGTTTTGCGTGTACGTACGCGTACGTACGTGTACGTACGCCGGGCAGGTAAAAAAAAAAATCCCCTAGAAATTTCTTTGAAAACGGTTTCCGAAAACCTAAAAAAGAAACAAGCTTTCGATGACCTGTGCTCTGTTAGCGTGTTAGTAAAATGGCGCGACGTTTTTCAAGGTAGTAATGTAAGAAACAGGAAGGTTGCTAGCTAGGGTTGCTATGGTGTGGCGACTACCCTACGTACTATGTCGACTAAGGAGGTAGAACTAAGATAGCTAAGTCTGTCGAGAGAGGGAGGGAGGAAATTGTGGTCGGAGCAGATCTGAATGTGTACAAACTGTTCGCGATAGAACATTGCGAACAGTTTGACTCAGATCGCGATTGCTTCGCTTGCAAGGTAAGCAAATGTCACCCGCTCGGCAGTTTCGTCACTGCCGAGCTTCACTGGTTTCGGCGAATCCCAACTTCGAGTCAAACCAATTCGCCAATTCAAGTCTAAATTTACATCGAGCGAGTTTCCTGCACCTTCCGTAAGACGCGCAAACGCGTGCCTGCACCTTCCGCGAGTCATAACCGGAAACTAACAATGCGATTCGACGGCAAAGAACTATTTTGCAGCTATAGCTAGTAAGTATAACAATAGTCACCACGCTTAACCAATAATCACAGCTAGCTTATCAATCGATCTACTCAATCAACTCTCCAACAGATTATACTAGTATTATGGAGACCCCTATGCAGACCTGCGAGCATCCCGTGTGGCGATGCTTCATTGTTCCTGAGGGCAGAACGTCTGATTCTACGCTAGCGAAGAAATGCAAGCGATGTGGTAAGTCGTGGAAACTGAATGTGGCGCGAGCTCAGGCACACATTCTCGGAATTTCAGGGAGCGGAATCACGCCATGCGCCTCAGCTACACCTGAGGATAAGGAGAAAATCCGTTCCGCGATGGATGATAAGAGAAGGGACTCTGATTCTCGCGAGAAAGCGCAACAGAAAACGTCTAATGCATTCTCGCCATCGTCTACTACGAACACCAAGTCGGTGGGCATGGGGGCGAGTGGCTCCAACATAGCGGAAAGTAGCAGCATAGCACGCAAGAGACAGGCGACGCAACGTACGCTTATGGATACTTGCCCCAAACCCGTCGACGTGGCGAGTGCGCAACTAGCCATCGCAACGTTTTTCCACGTGTGTCGTATTGCAACGAATGTTGCGGAGCACGATGCTTTCAAGACGATGCTGAAAAAGGTTGCTGCTGCTGGTACAGGATTTACACCTCCTGGACGACGGCTTATAATGGGAAGATTGTTGGAGGAGTGCAAGGCGAACACCGACACTGCGTTGAAGGAGGTGAAGGATTCATGGAAGGATGTCGGGGTGTGCATCGCGTGTGACGGTTGGACTGACAGCGAAGGACGTCCGCAGCTGAACTTCTTAGCTGTCAATACGATTGCATCCGTATTTTTTTTTTTTGGGTGTATTGCGGCACGGAGAAGAAGGGAGCAGAATTCATTGCTGGCCACTTGAAGACGGCAATGGTCATGGTGGGAACGGAGAACGTAGTCGGCGTGCTGATGGACGGTGCGTCCGCGAATGTCAACGCTGCTAGCATCATCGCCCTCGACTACCCAAAAGTTCAGTGGATTCGTTGCGCTGCGCATTCTCTCAATCTAATGATGAAAGACATTGGCCAACTCGATTGGGCCAAGGATACCATCGACCGCGCGCAGCAGCTAATTTCGACGCTGAAGAACGCGCACTGGATTACGGGGGTTCTTCGGAAGGAGAAGGCGCTACAAATCTTGAAACCTGCGGGCACTCGTTTTGGAACAAACTACATCGCCCTCGAACGCCTGCAAGCAGTGCGCAAAACTCTCGACAAGCTGGTGCTGAGTGAGGATTGGGAGGAGTACGTCAAGGGAAAGCCAAAAATGAAGGACGCATGGGATACTATTATCGACAAAGAGTTCTGGGCGCGCGTTGGGACGGTGCTCGATGTGCTTCGTCCGGTCTATAAGCTGTTGCGGAATGTTGACGGCAATCAGGAGGTGATGGGCAAGATCTATGACAAAATGTTTGTTTTGGAGGACGCGGTGAAGGAGGCGTGTAAGGAGCTGACCGAGGAGGAGAAGGAGGATGTGACCGACATCGTGCGGAATCGGTGAAACAACGACATCAACTGCGCGCTTCACGTGGTCGGACGGATTCTGTACCCGCCAAACCAATACGAGTCAATATTTGGAACGGACGTGGAGTGTACCAAGATCTTCAAGCAATTCATTCGTAATTACTACGAGGGTGAGTTCGTGAAATTGGGAGGGGTGATGGCGCCACTCGCAACCATCGTTGAAAAAGAGGTCTTGACATACACCAAGGGGAAGGGAGACATTGGGGAGCAGAAAGCGCGTGATGAACATGAACTCATCAAAGCTGGGCTTTTGGATTCGACGCATTGGTGGGAATTCAATGGCACGGACGTGCCCCACCTCTCCAAGCTTGCAAGGAGAGTTCTCAAGCAATGCGTCTCGGCCTCCCCTTGCGAGACGAACTGGGCCGTTTGGGAGTCAATCCATACAGCTCGTCGTAATCGCCTTGGAGCGAAACGCCTTGCCGACCTAGAGTACATGAGCCACAACTATCACACAGTGAAGAAGTTGAATGAGGATCTTGCTAAAAAGCTGGTGGTGAGTGGGCTTTCTGTGATCCAAGTTAAGGAGGAACCTACTGACAGCTACGGGCATCTCGATGACGACGACATCCCTGATGAGGCATATCTTGATGGCCAGGAAGCGGAAGAGCCGAAGGAGTGAGGATGATATGATATTTTGCACGACGCGTGCATGATGGTACTTTTGTTATTTGGGAAATAACGAGGTTGTAATGGAATGTTTATACTATATGATGGAAATCATGATTACGAGGGAGTACTGTAAAAAAATATACATATTCGGGCAGCCCAGAAATTTTCCACCTGCCCGTACATTAGGCCTCCAACCCAACAGCCGTGTAAACGTACGTACCCGTACCCGTACACGTACGTACGTAAACGTAAACGTAAATGACAAACTTAGCTTTCAGAGAAGTTTTGAGAAGCCTTTCAGAGTAGTTTTGAGAAGCCTTTCAGAGAAGTTTTGAGAAGCCTTCCAGAGAAGTTTTGAGAAGCCTTTCAGAGAAGTTATGAGAAGCCTTTCAGAGAACTTTTGAGAAGCCTCTCAGAGAAGTTTTGAGAAGCCTTTCAGAGAAGTTTGAAAAGCCTTTCAGAGAAGTTCTGAGAAGCCTTTCAGAAGTTTCCTGAGAGGGGTGGAGCTGTTATCATGGTTTTATCTGACGATTTTTTGAGACGCCTCGAAAATCGTTTGCTGAGAGGGGGGGAGCTATTGTGGCTCCGCCTCACTCAGAAGAGCTAGAGTGGTGTGGCTCGGGTCTGGGATTTTCATTCATTAGGTCCCCTATCCTTTCTATTCTGGTTATTGGAAGCTTTTGAGATATCACAAAATCCCTCACTCACTCAAAAACTTACTTCCTCGCTTGCTCGCGCACAAGATCACACACTCACGCACTCACTCACTCACTCGTTCACTCACTCACTCACTCACCCACAAACCCACCCACTCACTCACCCACACTCATCCACTCACTCCCTCACTCACTCACTCACTCACTCACCCACTCATCCACCCACTCGCTCACCCACTCATCCACTCACTCACTCACTCACTCACTCACTCACTCACTCACTCATTCACTCACTCACTCACCCACTCACCAACTTACAACTCCTTCCCCTGCAGTTTTCTTCCTCCTGGTAGGCGAAGCGGATCAGAGCCCTTTGAGGAATCTCACTGACTCTGAGGCCGACTCGCTATGCTTCACAATGGTGCGTGAGAGAGTGACAGAGATCCCCCGACACATGAATACGCACGAGGCACACAGCCATGCATACGCTTGTGCGTGCACACATACTAGCGCACGTACACACGATTGGGTGTGCGCACACACTAGCGCACATACACACGATCGGGTGTGCACACATACTAGCGCACATACACACGATTGGGTGTGCACACATAGTAGCGCACATACACACGATCGGGTGTGCAAGAACTCCCTGGTATCTCTGCGTACACATTTTTGGACATTCTTCCAGTGACCAGCAGTGTTTAGGAGCTAGGTTTCAACAAGTAGGAAAAGACAGTGTGACAAAAAACTAGGTGGTCGCCGAGAGTCTGTGAAACTGGAGAGTCTTGTGAGAGAACTACCTAATACAAGGTGTTTTCTCCCGCGCACACATTTGAAAAATCCCAAAAGGTGTTTTGTCACACACACATGTATGCATACATGCTTGCTTGCACTCGCTGTGTGTCGCATAATAGCAGCTGACGTGGCCAGGCACGCAGCACTCCACTCTTTGATCTGGGCACAGTCTTTTCCACATTGTTACTCTGTCTCCCCTGTCCCGTGCTTTTCATTGTGTCCCCCCTCTCGCGCACGCTTTCCACTTCCTCCTATCCAGCCAATGGTGAGGGTCACATAACAGCTGACGTCGCCTGGCTGGCAGCAGTGCACGCCTTGATTTGATTCAGTCAATGCCGATTCTGCATTATTACCACTCTGTGTCGCCCCTTTCACGCACGCTTTCCACTTCCTTCCCCCTACCCAGCCAATGGAGAGGGATGCATAACAGCATCTGACGTCGCCAGGCTGGCAGCAGTGCACTCTCCGGTCCAAGCAAAGTCATTTCCACTTTCACCCTTCCCTTCCCGCAAACCCCCGTCAACCCCCCGGGCCCCCATCCTATCCAGCCAATGGTGAGGGGCACATAACAGCATCTGACGTTGTTAGGCTGGCAGCAGTGCACTCTTTCCTGTGGAGCGAGCAGCAAATAGAGGATATGGTCACACGTTTCAGCCATTTACAGGTGAGTTTTGACCTTCGAGTGTATGCAAATGTATGTTTAGGCCACAGAATGTTGGTTTTATGTAGCAATTGATCACACCTGTGTTTTGTTTGTTATCCCCGCGCGCGTCACATTCTCCTGCCACCGTTGTAAACGTAATGGCAAGTGTCAGTAGCTGGCCACCTTAGTCTCATGTTTTCAGTTCTGTTTTTGAAATGGGTGGAATACGACATGCCTCATCATACTCTACCAGTTCGTTTCTTTTGCAGGGCGACTGGATGGGAATGTTGGAATTTCGGCACGTTTTGTCACAATGTGGACGGCTTTAAATGAAAAACTATCACCGATTTATCTTTGTGTTGCGTCGCATTGCAATCTTATGGTTTGATACCATCCCCGGCATAATTGATGTGTGCACAAAATCTATTGATTCTTTTATCTTGATACACCGTCTTCATATGAGCAGAAAATACTAATGAATATTGAATGCAATATGAAGTGGTATGGTCCCAGGTTCTAGGTTGCAAAGTAAACGCTGAATATACAGTTGATAAACAATGGATAGCCTACAAGAATCTGTCTTTCACTCTTTCTATACCGAGAAGAATTGTTTAAGGAGCAGTCATACTCCGGCCAATATCATACATACTCAAAGTATGCCCGAAAACGCTTGCAGGTGTAATCAGGCCAACAGTAATCCGAACAGTGGCACTGTTCCCAGCAGAAATCTGTCTTGGCGCGCCACCCGCAGCTTCACCAGTTGACCCACGTTGCTTCTGTACAGTGAAGGCACCACAGTGCAGGCATGTCAGAAGCGAATCCCACACCACACACGCATCTGTCCACAAATCGAGCCCCCCAACCCAAACCAAAGCGGCAGCCTCCCCCACCTCCTACCCCTAACCCCCCAAACCGAACCTGCGGGTACCCAACGGTAACTCCCTCCCTCCCGCCAAGTCCCTTGTTCTCGATTGGGATTACCGTGACAAGCAGAAGCCGCAGAAACAAAACTACAACGACCATGGAAACGCACACACATATGTTTCACATATGTGTAAGAAACATTGACATGTTGAGATAGAGAGAAAGAGATATTTATAATCTGTATATATTATTCAGTATAATTTAAGATACACATATGTACATGCTCCTGAAAATATTTATCGACTATTGAAATGAGACCGCCGGAGTGCTGACATCGCTGTTGCGGTATTCACCTGCGAATGAATTGTAAAATGCATGCTCAATGTCGCATTGCATTTTGTTCCTTGATATACAGCTTAGCATTCCGCCTAATTATTTAGTGTCTTCCTTGATATAAGATAAACTCGTGCCAAAATTCTATGTGAACACAAGTGGTAGCAAAAACATTGCTAGAACGCTACGATCATCTACACAACCATCTGCCTTTCTCCGTAGTCTCCCATTGTAGGGTGACTTTCAGTTGGTGGGGGGGGGGGGGGGGGGGGGGGGGGGGGGGGGAGAGAAAGAGAGAGAGAGAGAGAGAGAGAGAGAGAGAGAGAGAGAGAGAGAGAGAGAGAGAGGAGAGAGAGAGAAGAGAGAGAGAGAGAGAGAGGGAGAGAGAGAGAGAATATGAATGAGAGAGAGAAAGAAATAAAGAAAAACCAAAACAGGTTAGTGTAGCAATGCACCGTTGGGGATTTTTATGATTACCAAATACGATAGGGGTTCGAGTAGGTCAGGTAATTCACAGACGTACCTTACAAATAAATCCTTTACGCTTCGGCAGCTAATGTACTTTGTGAGAAAAGTAGAACGAGGATGAATGAACTATGAATGAAGTGAGTACATATGGGAAACCCTAATTGGGTTGTACCCCCTATGGGATACCCCACTATAGCCTACACAACAGCATAAGCTATATATATGTTCTGACACACCCCCATAGGCAAAGTGGGGGAGAACAAGGGGTCACAAGACCAGTCAAGCAAAGCAGAGCAAGCTCAGGGTGGATCACAAAGTCACCACACAGTCCGAGCACAACGACAGGGCAACAGGGCCAGTTCACATGCAGGAGTACACATATATATATAGAGCTAGACAAGCAAGAGCAGGAATATATATGTGACAGTACAAGCAAGGTCAAGAAGAGAGCAAGTGAGGCAAGACAGGTACAAGACCCAGCTGGGTGCAGAAGCGCTGATGGTCACAAGGCGCAAGTGCCTTGGTGAACACATCAGCAGTGTTGGCCTCAGAGGCCACGTACGCAAGTCGCAACTGACCACGCTGCTGCAGCTCACGAGCAAGAAAGTAACGGAGAGCAATGTGCTTCGTTCTGTGCTCCAAGCGCTGCTCTCGACACAAGGCTAGCATGGCCTTGTTGTCTACGTACAACACTGGAGGAGAACGAGGCGGCTCTCCAAGGTCAGTCAGCAGGTAGGTGAGCCAGCGAAGCTCCTGTGCAGCCATGGCCCCGGCGTAGATCTCAGCCTCACAACTGGAGCTGAGAACAGAGGACGAGCGAGTAGCCCGCCACGAGACAGAGCCGGAACCAAGACTGAAGGTGTAACCCTGCGACGACCGCTGTGTAGCCTGGTCGTCTGCCCAAGAAGCGTCCGCGTGCCCAGTGAGGACCACTGGACTCCGCCCTCCAAGCACTAGCCCCATGCCCGACGTACTGCACAAGTAGCGCAACACCCTCTTCGCTGCAGCCATGTGCTCTGGTCGGTGTCTCCCAGGAGCAACATAGCGTGAAAGAATGCTAAGAGGGTATGCAAGGTCAGGTCGTGTGCAGGTCATCAGGTACATGAGGCAGCCAACAAGCTCTGGGTACGGGCCACTCGACTCTACGGACTCATCCGAAGGCAGAGCTGAGAGCGAGTGGCGAGTAGACAGAGGAGTGGCCTGAGGCGAGGAGTACGTGAAGCCGAAGCGTTGAAGGACCTGCTGCACCATGTGTGACTGAGTCAAGGTAATGGTGCGGCGTGCTCTGTCCCGAGTGATCTGCAAGCCAAGGTAGCTGCGCAGTTCACCGAGGTCTGTGCACGTGTGTCTCTTCTGCAGCTCGGACTTCACGTAGGCTAGTCCAGCAGTGTCAGCTGTGGCAAAGACCAAGTCGTCGACGTACACGAGGACGTAGAACGGCGGCAAAGAAGTGTCGGTGCGCAGAAACAACGACGGGTCAGCAGTAGAGGGAGCAAACCCAAGAGCCGCAAGCGTAGTCCTCAGTGTGTCGTGCCACTCACGCGGTGCCTGGCGGAGACCGTAGACTGGCCGTCGGAGGCTCCACTGGGTGCCAGGAGGAAAAGTCCCAGTGAAGCCAGGTGGACGGCGCAGCCAGATCTCCTCGTGCAGGCTACCCTGCAAGAAAGCAGTACTGAAGTCAAGAGAGTGGAGCTCGTAGTCGCGCTGAGCGGCTATGTGCAGCAGCACCCGAAGAGTGGTCATCTTCGGGGTGGGAGAGAAGGTCTGAAAGTAGTCAACTCCCTGCCGCTGACTGAAGCCACGAGCGACGTACCGCGCCTTGAAGACAGGTGGAGAGCCCGGCGGCCGCTTCACCCTGAAGATCCACATGCCACTGACGATGTTCGCCCCAGGAGGGGGAACCGCGTCAACGTAGGTGCCTGTGGACTTCCAGGACGCCATCTCTGCATCCATAGCTGCCTGCCACTGAGAGGAGTAGGGACCCTCTACGGCCTCCGCGTAAGAGCGCGGAGTCGGGATGTCTAGTGCATCCGGGTCTCCCTCAGGGGCAAGTAGTACGGACGCGAGATGAGGTGAAGCAGCAGCCAGACACCTGAACTCCTCCTGCCTGTCCTCAAGGACGTCCGTGCCAAGAGCACACTCACCCCCGACGGACGGAGGACAGACAGACGCAGACTCAGCAACAAGACCGGCAGCGTAGTCTAGACGACAGCGAGCAGCAAAGTCGACGAGCTCAGCAACAAGCGCAGACGCAGCAGTGGACTCAAAAGAGGGGTCAGTGACGACAGTAGCAAGGAGACGTGTGACAGCAGGACTGGCAGCACGAAGAGAGTCCGACTCCGGGTCAGGAAGAGCAGGAAGAGAGGACTCAGGAGGAGAAGGCAAAGGGGCACGCAGAGGAGCAGTGGACGGACGCAGAGACATCCGGTGCGTGCCAGGGACAGGAGGAGGACGCTGACGCGAACCACGACCACTAGTGCGAGCAGCACGGACAGGCGACGCAGGGCGAGACGCAGGCTCACGACGCTCAGCAAGACCTCCAGTAGACCAGTGTAGGGAGAAGGAGCGGGCAGTGGGGAGAGGCCGGCTGTAACTGTAACTGTGACAGGACAGGCTGTGGACACTCTAAGGGAGGAGGAGGACCAGTAGAAGGCGGGAGACCAAGAACCTGCTGAAGGAGCGGAACGAAGTACGGTCTAGGCCGCGCGACGACTCCAGACACAGCAGGGACAGCACCAGTACCCCCAGCGGCAGCACCAGCGCCAGTAGCACCTCCAGCTCCAGGACCTCCAGCAGCACCAGTAGCACCCCCAGCAGGACCGCCTCCAGGACCGACAGCAGTAGCCTCAGCACCAACGCCCTCAGCAGCTCCAGCTCCAGCACCTCCGGGACCCGCGGCACCAGCACCCTCAGTAGCCGAAGAACCTCCAGCTCCAGCAGCACGCCTCCAGCGCCGGGCAAACCACTCGCGCAGCTCCTGTGGAGAGAGGGGCTCCCGCCGAGGCGAAGCACCCGGAGAACCGCCAGGTCCCGCACCGCCAGACGCCACAAGGGGAGGTCCAGTGGCCGCAGGCTCCGCAGCTCCAGGCTCAGCACCTCCAGACGCAGCAACCCCCTGGCTCAGCACCCCCAGTAGCAGCACCCCACGGCTCAGCACCCCCAGACTCCGCACCCCCAGGCTCAGCACCCCCAGTCGCAGCACCCCCAGGCTCAGCACTCCCAGACTCCGCACCCCCCAGGCTCAGCACCCCCAGTCGCAGTACCCCCAGGCTCAGCACCCCAGACTCAGCACCCCCAGGCTCAGCACCCGCAGCAGGACCAGAGTCACCAGCAACCTCGACCGGCTCGACTGCGTCTACCTGGGACACACCTGAAGGGGCAGGACCCTGAGGGGGAAGGGGGTCTACCGGGGGGGGACCTGGCACAAGGAAGTGCGGTGGCGGGGGGAGGGAAGGAGTGCGGTAGGGGAAGAGGCGGTAGAAGGGGACTGACTCGTCGAACGTGACGTCCTGGGAGGACAGAACACGACGAGAGGAGGGGTGGTAGAACTGCCACCCTGGAGCGTCAGGGGGGAAGCCGAGGAAGACACAGGGAGCAGCACGAGGGGACAGCTTGTCCGCAGACAAGTCGCGGACAAACGCCCGAGATCCCCAGACACGGAACGCAGACGCATCGCCGACCTTCCCCGTCCACAGCAGAGCTGGGGAGGTCTCCGGCCGGGAGACCCTGGGGTGAAGGTTGATCTGATGCGCCGCGTACCGAACCGCAAACGGCCACAGAAAATGGGGGGCAGCCGCATGCATCATGGACGTACGAGCGACGTCCATGACCATGCCAATGCGGCGCTCAGCAATCCCATTTTGCTGTGGAGAGTCCGGAAGCGTAAAGGTCTGGCGGATGCCTCGTGCACGACAGTAGGCTCGCAGAAGGCCAGAGGAGAACTCTCCACCTCGGTCAGAGTGCAGACGCAAAACAGGAAAGTCCGAGCCGAAGCTCCCCCTGAGCTGGAGACGAGCTGCGCGGATCCAGTCGATCAACACCGCAGTGACATCACCCTTGCTGCGCAAGGGGAAGACTGTGGTGTAACGCGAGTAATCGTCAACCACCAGCAGGAAGTAGCGCTCGTGACCCTGCCCACGGACGCGGGCGGGGCCCCACACGTCCATGTGAAGCGTCTGCAGAGGAGCCTCTGTCGGGGGAAACTGAGAGGAGTGAGGGGCAGCCCGGAGCCGCCCCTCGACACAGGGGACACAAGAAGGTCCGGGTCCCGAAGGGAGGGGAGGGAGAGACCGGGGAAGACCAGAGACAAGGACACGGGAAGCCATGCCCCGAAGACGAAGCAAGGAGGGGTGGCCAAGGCGGTGGTGCCACAGGAGAGTCTCGTGAGACAGGCGGCGACACGAGCAGGGGCAGACTCAGGACCAGACCTGGACGCAGCAGCAAACACCTGACCCGACGCAGCTACCTGGCCAGACGCAGGGACAGGAGGAGACGCAGTGGTCAGTGTGTAGAGACTCGACCCTGGCCGACGCGAGAACGTGGCCAGGTGTCGGCCTGTGCGGGCATCCGAGCAGTGGGTCACCCGCTGACTCGCAGGAGTAAACTGGTGAACCCCCGCATCCTGCAAGTCAGCACCACTCACCAAGTTCGTCGAGAACGAGGGGAGGTACAGACCAGACAAGGTGCCCGAGGGGGCAGCCGGACACGGGAGGACAGTGGAGAAGTGAGAGAGGACAGGACCCCCAGAGGGGTCAGCCAGGGAGACTGCAACCGGCCGGCCAAGCGGCGTGAGTGTGGTGCGGTCTCGAAAGAAGGAGCGAGAAGCCCCTGAGTCAAGTGTGAAGGTGAGGGAGGCCGAAGCCGACGCAGTACCTGAGAGCGCAGCCTCACCAGTACCTGAGAGTGCAGACGCACTGGCACCTAGAGCAGCAGCCGCAGAAGTACCTGGCGCAGCAGTACCAATGCCCGGGTCGGGCGGG